TAATATTTGTTACCTTTTCCCATATCTGACTTAGGAGGTTATAATCCGCTTACTGAGGTTTCATATATATATATATAACTATTTAGAAATGTCTAAATATGTGTTTATGTTTATTTAAAAGTCAATTATCAATTAATCCATATCATTTATTGAACATATCATATCTGGTTACTGCGTGGAGTACCCATAACATCACGTATCATTCTATTGGTGCTTTCCGTCTTTTGGTCTGGTGTGATTTGCCTATTCCAGCTAAAGCTAATGCTATGGTCCCTACCCCAAAATCTTGGGCCCCGAACAGCGGCGAAACCAGCGTAGCCAAACCGCGGCTGAACATCGCCTGTCCTGGTCGTCACTGCGGTGCACCAAGCGCTCGACCACCTCCTCGGGTGGCGGCCTAGCCGTTCGACCAAACCGGAAGAGCTGCTAACAAAAGGCCAGGGCCAAGAACCTATGTATGTATGCCTTTCTTGGCCACAGAAGGGCCACATGTAACATCTTTCTGGCAGTCTCAGTCTCGCTCTTTTGTGGTGAGCATTTGTAACCCTAGAAGTCTTGTGCATGCCCCTCCGACCAAGTGGGTCCATCTTGGGACGTCCTACAGGCCGTCCCAACGGTACCGTCACCAAACGTGTTCTCCGCCTAAACTTCAGGTGGTAGATCTCCCCTGTCTCAGGATCGAGGCCTCACACGAACGGGGACAGTCGGCTTTCTCACCGACGGTCGCGGAAACACCGCCATGGCGAGGCGAACACCAAAAGCGATTGGGAGTTGAATGGAAAGCTGTCAGCCCTGGGTGGCAAAGGACTTCATCGGAGAGATGTTTGGAAGGATGTGTTTGTTTCCACTTTCAAGTCTGAGAGTCACCCCGCAGGCTGCGAAACGCAAAAAATTGAGTTTCTTTCAAAATTCGATTATTTTGGACATGATTGAACCAAAACATGCCAAAACCAATAAAACCGTCCGAAAATACCTGGACCTTCTTTCGGAGTGTCCTGTCGGTCCCTAAAAAAAAGTGGTGGGCTGGGGCGAAACCAGCCAAGTGACCCCGACATGAAGGTCCAGGTATGCTTATATATTTGCCTACATTGAGGTGGTTTGGAGGATCAATGGCATATATTCCATACAAAACGAAACATGAACCAACATGAAACCATCATGAAACCATGCCTCAATGGCCCGGTCTCCCTGTTGCGCGCTCGGCGCTCTTGCGACGGAGTCGCGGCGGCCGCAGCCGCGCTCCACCAAGGTCTCATCGGGCACCTGCGCGCGGCGCAGATGGCCGGTCAGACAGGGCACCACCGGCTTTGCCCAATGGGATTGGCCAAATAAGCCCCCCAAGTGGTTCAAGAAGTGAACTTGAGAGAGGAGGGGGGTGAACGAAAGGTAGCAGGGAATCAGGCGTAATCCGGGAGGAGGTGAGAGGCCCCCCACTTGTTTGAAGAGAAGTGAGTGAGCGTGATGAAAGAAAAGCTAATGCACAAACGCTTGACAAAACCTCCAGAAGCTGTAGCGGTCTAGCGGTTTCAATACAGGTTGACGTGCCTTCAAAAGGAGTCACATATTTCTCAAATGCAACTTCGGATTTACATAGTGACGTGCGGCGACCCTTTAAATTGCGTGGCCGCAGGCCATGCTTGCAAACAGGACGTGCTCAAAAACACTGGTATTTACGAGGTTTCGTTGCCGTCGATCCACAGCCGCGGCAAGGTCTAAGGCCACGCTTGAAGACAGGAGGAGCTGAAAACACTGGTATTTACGGTATTTTGTAGCCGTCGATCCAAAGGCGCACCACGGTT